ACCAACACTTACTTTTCCTAAGCTGAGATAAGGATCTAGGCTGCAGGAAGTTGGCAAGTATGACCAACACTTTCTTCTCTTCAGCCGAGATAAGGATCTATGCTGAAGAATGGTTGGTTGGAATAACCAACTTTAGGTACTCTTCAGCCGAGATAAGGATCTAGGCTGAAGAGCGATAAGTAGGTATAACCAACATAACAAACAGTTGTCAAAGCTCTTAGTGTGAAAATGGTTATCTCGGCAACAAAAAGAAGAAGATTTTCATTCAAAATTCGAATCAAAGGTGCAAAAGGTGGGACATATAGCCCGGTTACACAGAAAGAATGCCTTCTTATATGATTGCAACCACGAAGGGTATAAATGTTGAAGGCATAAAAGCAGGGCTATTCAAATTTTTGGCATGACGGCTGTAATAGGAGAACAGGGCTAATGGGGGCACGCCACCTGTCCTTGGGATAACGTCATATCAAACATGCCAGATTAGTGGAATGACGTGCTGAGCAACTGACAAGACTTGTTGGGACCGAACGAGTTGTGAGACCGAACAAACTTCTCTAGTTCGGAAGAGTTGAGCGTTTTTAGCTCGGCTAGAGGAGAGTAATCCCAATCATGCTGCGTAGATGGAATTAAGGGGCAATTGAGAGGGTAATTTGTAAGCAAATTGGGCCGAGCTAGGAAAGTCTTCTTTGGAAGTTGGGCCGCGCAATGGGCTGAGATAAGGGCTGGTATAGCTCGGTCTTAGGCCAAGAAGACATCTCATATTATAGATTTGGGCCAAACTATGGGCCGAGGTGTTTGGGCTTCGCAAGTTGGACCTCGTCCTTGTTAGTTCGGTCGGAGACTGCTGCAGTTAGCTCGGTCTAAACAGACAAAATCGAGGTATCAGTGGGGGGAGAACCAAGCTAAATGATAGCTCTGCAGGGCGTCATCTCAGAGTCAAGACTGACAGTGGTGCTTAAAGTATCACCGAGCCGAAATAACCTGGTTGACCGCAATGTCAGCCGAGGTAAAGATGTCAGCCGAGGTAAATGAGGTAACATCAATGGCGAGGGCCGAGCTGTGTATAGCTCGGCAGGGTGGCATTCGATAGATTGGCTTTCAATCACACGGTCCGAACGGCAGGGGACCGAGATAAGGCAGTTCGGTTAGAAATGTATAACCGAGGTAAATGGTTCAGCCATCTCACTTGGCTTGCAGTAATGAGACTCCTAGTAGGACTCTGCTAAGGAGAGTTAGAGTCCTACTGAGATTGTGCAAACCATCTCACTTGGTTGGTAGTGAGTAGGAGTATGACTCCTAGGAGAACTCTGCTAAGGAGAGTAGAGTCCTACTAGGATTGTGCAAAACCATCTCACTTGGTTCGTAGTGAGTAGGGTGTGTGATTCCTAGGAGGACTCTCCTAGGGAGAGTTGGAATCCTATTAGGATTGTGCCAAAGTAAAGTCTATAAAAGCTCATGACCAGAGCTATGGACAGGTATCCCAATTCTTACTCTAGAATACACAGAGCTTATTGTCTATTGTCTAGTTGCTGACTTAGGCATCAGAGGGGTTTCCGGCACACACCCGCCGGTTAGCTAACGTTTGTGTTTTCAGGTGGCAAAGCAACGTTGTTTAGAGAAGTGCAAACTTGATCAACAGGATCATACGAGAAGAATTATTTCGTGCTCGTACAATTAGCTACTCATGAATGTGGTTTATGATGTTGGTCCTGCCATGTTTACTTTATTGCTTGCATGAGCATGCTCTCTCTCTCTCTCTCTCTCCCCTTATATATATGATGTTTATAAAGGAAATTATCTGCGAAATTGCTTGTGTCTGGTTTATGAGTTGTCCAGCTCTGTTCTTTTAGCTCATTATGGGCCATTGTTGGATAATTTAATTATTTCATATAGACGATATTGAATTCTTCTGTATAGGTCATTTATGGGGAATTTATTTTTTTAAAAAAATTGATTCAATGGTTGTATTGATCACATATTTTCAAAATATATATATACTTTTTTAAAAAAAATAACATAAAATATGATTTTAGACACAAATTTTTTTTTTTTAATGTTTTTTTAAAGATTAATGTAATCAAATAATGTGATGACGACCGTCAAATCAATTTAATTTTTTTTTAATGTTTTTTTAAAGATTAATGTAATCAAATAATGTGATGACGTCCGTCAAATCAATTTAATTTTTTTGTATATACAAATTTATAATTTGAAAGATTACAAATTTAGAATATGAAAGATTAGATCATTCTACGAAGACCGATAAATATTAGGGATTTATTGAACACCACACTAATCAGCAATCGTGACACTATGTTGAATAAACTCTTATATAAATAAGATAATTTAGGTAATCATTTGATTAATATTGGCCTTGTTTGGGAAGTGGTTACTTTTTTGACTTTTTAACTATTTAACTATTTTTGTAGGCTATTTTAGTTTTTATGTTTGGGAAGTTGGGTTGAATTTTTTGGTTAATTATTGTATTGAAAAATGTGTTTGAAATGATGTTTGAGGTTGAAATGACAAATTTGTTCCTAACTTCACTTTTTCCAAAATTGGTCTAAAGGGGCAAAATTATCATTTACTACCTGTGGGACAGCCTGCCAACATGACAATGGTAGGCTATCAGTGCACTGTTAACGTGACAGTGTAGGCTACCACTGCTAAGCTACTTTTTAAAAAAATATATATATATATAAATCATTGATTTAGTGTACTATTTGAAGCTATCTGGTATTTTTAGTGTTTGAGGCTCAAACTTGGGTTTCCAAAGAAAGCTATTTTATTGATACCCAAAAACTTAGTGATAAGGTGTTATTTAGTGAAATTTTTTATTTATTTATATTTAATCTACACATTTATTTAGAGATGAGATGATAGTCAAATGATAGGAGTAATGTTAGGGATATTAATTTTTTTACTAAATAAGGCCTTCTTTGGTTTGTTTTTTAGAGAGTAATTTTGGAGAAAAATTTTTAAAATTTTGTTTCGTTTAGTGATTTTGCAAAAAAAAAAATCCAAAATCACTTTCTATCTTCTACACATCAATCAATCACTTTTTCTCTTTCTTCTCTCATTCTCAATCACTTTTTCTCTCATACACATCTACTCAACTATAACAAAATATTAAATCATTCCAAACTCCCATACTCTAAAACTATTTCTAAAATATACAACCAAACAAACCAAAAAAAAATTATAAACTCTCTCTCCAACTTTTTTTTGAAAATTTATCTCCCAAAACCAAACCAAACACACCCTAAATGTCTTACATAGATGTGAAGTCTACAGTGAGACATTTGATAGAAAATTTAGAACCTATAACATTATAATCAACTAAACCAACTCTCTATGCCTTCGTTTGGGATGTGGGTTAGATTTTTGGCCTTTTGACTATTTTAGTCTGGGGCTAAAAAGTCTCGTTTAGGATGAACATTTTGACTTTTTTGACTTTTATAAGAGAAAAAATGAAATGATTATGGTTTAGATGTGACATTTTATCTTATTAACTTTTTAACCTATTTTATCTTTTTATGACTAAAATAACTCCCAAAAAAAAAAAATGCTAAAAAAAAAAAAAAAAAACCAGCCTATGCCATGCCATGCATGCCCATCCGTTTGTTTGTTTGTTTATTAGCAAGCAATATCCCTCACCATCCGCCACGTAGACATCTCTGTTTATAATGATAATGATATGATTATTCCCGCGCAAAAATGCGAGGACAGGAACTACCTTCGTGTTTCCAAACATAACCAAAAGAGTACACCCCCCTCCCACATCCCCACTTTTTTTTAGCCTTGGCTTTTCGCTGCACAAGATCACAAAAAAATAATCTCTCAGGCATATTATATTAGCAATCGAATCATAGAAATCCTAATTGTTCACTCTTGTTATAGTTATGAATGTATGTGCAAATTGTCTATCTATGAATCACCCTCTCTCTCTCTCTCTCTCTCTCTCAAGGAAAATGATGTGTTTTCTAGTATGTGTATTCCTTTATAATATGTAGTTAGTTATATTTCCATATGCTACTATCTACTTTCAAAAATCCAATAGTGAGAGTAAAATAATATATAGGTGGCAATTTCTGAAGGTAATATTGTATACATATATAGAAATCTGTGATTGTTGACTCGCCTATGGTATATACCTAGGAATGGACGTTTCTAATTTGAAGCCTTCTTTTATTGGGAATTCATTTATGTGTGTGTATACAGCTTTTGAACTCTGTTATATTTTAAGAAAGGCAAATGTTAACAAGTGCTCTAAAAGGATTTGGAAAATATCATATTCTCATTCAATGAATCTAGCAAATACAATTGTATCTCCTTTTATATAGAAACTATAACTACCTAACTCAATATACTAACTAACTAACTATGGTTATGTTTATATAACTTCCTAATAGATTTATTCTAACCACCACAAGTGGATTGTAACTGTCTCAATTTCATACACGTGCTCAGCTCTTGAGTGTTAGCAACAGATGGCTTGTATATCTTCTTGACCTGTAGTTGAGGTTTGAACTAGTGCAACTGGTGTGACTGTGTCTTTGTTGACTTGTGCTGATCTGTTTCTTGTGGCTTGAACTGATCTGTCTCTTTTGGCTTGAGCTGATGTAGCTTAACATGCCCCCTCAAGCTTAGGGGAGCTTGGAGAACCATAAGCTTGGACTGTAGGTACTGAAACCTCTGAGGAGAAAGGGGTTTAGTGAAAATATCAGCTAGTTGATCAGAAGTGGAAATGTGAAGAATGTTGAGCTGCTTAGTTGTGACTTTCTCTCGAACATAATGATAATCAACCTCTATATGCTTTGTACGGGCATGGAAAACATGATTAGATGAAAAAGAGATAGCAGATATATTATCACACCAAAGAGTAGGAGAAGAGACTATAATGTGAAGATCAACCAACTAAGCTCTGCTGTTGTTTGAGCCAAAGCACGATATTCTGCCTCAGTAGAAGAACGGGCTACAGTTGGTTGCTTTTTAGCAGACTAATAGATCAAATTCGATCCAAGGAAAACACAATAGCCAGTTGTAGATCTTTGGTCATAATAGTTACCAGCCCAATCAGAATCTGAGTAAGCCTGAAGAATAAGAGGACCAGGACTAAAATGTAGCCCAAGTTTGAGAGTACCTTTAAGATATCTGAGAAGACGTTTAACATGAGCAAAATGACTAACAAGAGGAAGATGCATAAATTGGCAAGCATAGTTCACAGCGAATGAAAGATCATGATGAGTTATAGTTAAGTATTGAAGAGCATCCACAATGCTTCGGTAAAGAGTAGGATTAGAAAATGGAATATCAATTGGAGAATCAGTTTGTTTAAGGGTCGTAGGTGAGGAATATGATTTATAATCAGTCATGCCAGCTTTGGCAAGAATCACAGTGGCATATTTGTGCTGAGAGAGAAAGTAGCCATGAGAGGAAGAAGTGACTGAAATACCAAGAAAATAATTGATAGACCCAAGCTTTTTCATGGCAAAAGTAGAATGCATTTAGTGAACAAGCTGATCAATTGCAGAAGAATCACTGCCAGTTAAAAGTATGTCATCAACATAGATAAGTAAAATGAGAATAGAAGAAGCTGTTTTCTTAACAAAAAGAGAGGAATCACAGTGACTAGATAGAAAGCCTTGAGATTGAAGGAATGTGGAAAAAGTGGAATACCAAGCCCTTGGGGCTTGTTTCAGACCATAAAGAGATTTGTGCAGTTTACAAACAAGATGAGGAGAAGAGACATCAATGAAGCCTTGAGGCTGGTGCATATAGACTTCTTCCTCAAGAACACCATGGAAAAAAGCATTTGATATATCAAGTTGCTTGACAGGCCATTGGAAATGAAGTGCCAAGGTTAAAAGAACCCAAACAGTTGGTTGTTTGGTCACAGGACTAAATGTCTCATGAAAATCAATCTCCTTTGTTTGAAGAAAACCCTTAGCAACCAAATGAGCCTTATATCTAGCAATGGTACCATCTAAATTTTTCTTACTTCTGTACACCCATTTGGAACCAATAGCAGATTTACCAGGAGGTAATGGCACAAGAAACCAGGTGGCCTGTTTTTGTAAGGCTTGAAATTCATCCAACATTGCAACTTGCCATTTAGAAGATTGAGTTGCCTCTTTGTAAGTAGATGGTTCAAAAACCTCAGTGGAGGCATCAGTAGAAGCCAAGAAACAAGTGGACACAGCTTTGGTCTTAGATCTGGTAAGCATTGAATGATGATTCTGAGAATATAGACTGAGAGGCAACTCTATAGAAATAGAGGAAATAGGAATAGATGTTGCAATAGGTGCTATTAGTGCAGCAGAACTAGAGAGTGGTAAGGTTGCAGCTAAAGGAGTTGCATTAGCTGGAAAAGCATAACTAGGATCTGTAGGACCTGCAGATGCAAGTGTGACAAAAATAGGAACAGAACTAGCTGCAGAAACTGTACCAGAAGAGACAAGAGAAATAGTAATAGAGGAAGGAGCTAAGGACATAGAGTGGGAGGTAGGATTATCTGTAGGCCAGAAAAAAGTATGTAACTGAGGTAAAGTAGGAGCAGGAATAGAAGCACTGAGAGAAGGGTCTTGAAATGGAAAAGTAGTTTCATAAAAAAAAACATGTCTGGAAATATACATTTTACCACTGGACAAATCAAGACACCTATAACCCTTTGTGGAGGGTTGATAACCAAGAAACACACAAGGAAGGGATCTTGGCTGAAGTTTATGTGTAATATAGGGTCGAAGCCAAGGATAACATTTACAGCCAAAGACTTTTAAAAAATTATAATCAGGAGCATGCTTAAATAATACTTCAAAAGGAGTTAAATTGTTCAGCTTAGAAGTAGGATACTTGTTAATCAGAAACACAGAAGCAACAAGAGCATCAAACCAAAATTTGATGGGAAGAGATGACTGATGCATGAGAGTGATAGTAGTTTCAATCAAGTGTCTATGCTTCCTCTCAGCCACTCCATTTTGAGTAGGAGTATGTGGACAAGTGAGTTGATGTTCAATACCTTTAGTGGTAAGAAAATTCTGAAATTTAGAAGCCAAATATTCTCCCACATTATCACTTCTCAGGATTTTAAGTTTGGTGTGAGACTGCATTTCCACAAAGGTCTTAAAATCAACAAACTTGGAGAAAACTTCACTCTTGTAAGACAAAGGAAATAACCATGTAAATTTGCTAAAGGCATCAATGAAAAGAACATAGTATTTATAGTTTGAAACAGAAGCAGCAAATGGTCCTCATACATCAAAATGGATAAGAGCTAAAGGTTGATTTACAGATGCATTTGAAAGACTAAATGGCAACCTATGACTCTTAGACACACAATAATGTGTGCACAATCTATTTGAGGCAACAGTAGTAGCCATAGTACATAAATGATACTGAGAAACAAGAAAATTCAACTTCTTAGATGAAGGATGTCCTAGTCTAGAATGCCAAAAAGAATCATGATGAGCAGGAGCAGTAGTGGAACAATGCAGACAAACAGGTTGAAAAGACAATGAAGAGGTTGAAGCTGGTAGATGGTAAAGACCATAAGAAAAGCCTCATTTATACAAAACCTTCTTGGTAAGCTTGTCCAGTATAACAAAGGAGTCAACATCAAAAGTAATGGTGCACTTGTTGTTAGCAATTAATTGGTGAACTGATAGAAGATTGGAAGAAATAGATGGAACATAGAACAAATTGTTAAGTGTGAAAGGTATAGTGGGAGTAGGAAGAATGCCATTACCAGTATGATGAATAGGCAAGGTGGAACCATCTCCCACACTGACTTGATCAGGACCAAGATAAGGTTGGTAAGTATTCAGATTGTTGAGATCATTCATAAAATGATTTGAAGCAGCAGAATCTAAGAACCAAGTAGAACTTTCTGATGCATGAGTAGGAGAATTAGGAACAGTGGATGAGGAGGCAACATAAACCCTGGGATGAGTCTTAGATGCTTGAAGTGTTGTATCGAGTCTATGCCAACACTCCAAAGCTGAATGATTAGGCTTTCCACAAACTTGACATAACAAAGAGCCAACAGAGGACTGATGTGGAGATTGATATTGATGTGGAGACTAAAACTGAGACTGAAATTGAGGAGATGTTCTGCCTCCACCTTTGTTCTGTGAAAATCTGTCGCCATTATTTCGACCTCTATATGAGCCATAACCTCGATATCCTCCTCTCTGAGATCCTTTGAAACCTCTATAATTCCCTCGAGTAGCAACATAAGCAAAAGGAAGATCAGATGTATGAGTGTGTTTGAGAGAGGTTTCAATATGAATAGATTCTAAACACAGTAGAGCAGATAAAGCAGCAATAGAAATAGGATCAGATCTTGCTCGAATAGTTGTTTTGAAAGCATTATATTCATCAGGTAAACCGTTTAAGGTGATTAAAACTAAATCTTCATCTTCAATCGATGAACCAGCCAAACTCAACTGATCAGAAACAGTCTTGATTTGATTCAAGTAGTCTTCCATAGTGAGATTTTTCTTTGTCATATAATTGAGCTTGTTCTTTAGCTGATGGATATCAGATGAAGAGAGAGATGTAAATCGAGTAGCTAGTGTATTCCATACCTTTGAACTTGTACCACAGTGCAAAATAGAAGTGAAGATGGATGATGAAAGTGTAGTAGTAATATAACTCAACAAATGTGTATCAATGGTGATCCAATGAGTAAATGCTGGATTCGGAACAGAATTACCACGTTCATCATTGATTGTAGATGAAGGACAGAGTACAGAACCATCAACAAAGCCTATAAGCTTTGTAGCTCTTAGGATATTCTGAAACTGACTCTTCCAGATTATATAGTTTGTAGAATCAAGTTTGATTGGAACAAAGGAGTTCAGATTGGAAATAAGAAGAGTGAGATTAGAAGGTAACATAGAGATATTTGAAGAACCTGTAACAGAGATTGAATCTGCCATTGTTACAGTAGCTTCTTGCAAATTTGTTACAATAGCTTCTTGCAGATTTGCTGCCATCACTGCATCTTGTTGAAGATACAATGCTCGAAGGAGCTCACAAGGCTCTGATAACATAAAAGGATTTGGAAAATATAATATTCTCATTCAATGAATCTAGCAAATATAATTGTATCTCCTTTTATACAGAAACTATAACTACCTAACTCAATATACTAACTAACTAACTAACTATGGTTATGTTTATATAACTTCCTAATAGATTTATTCTAACCACCACAAGTGGATTGTAACTGTCTCAATTTCATACACGTGCTCAGCTCTTGAGTGTTAGCAACAGATGGCTTGTATATCTTCTTGACCTGTACCTGAGGTTTGAACTGCTGCAACTGGTGCAATTGGTGTGACTCTGTCTTTGTTGACTTGAGTTGATCTGTCTCTTGTGGCTTGAGCTGATCTGTCTCTTTTGGCTTGAGCTGATGTAGCTTAGCATGCTCCTGATATATTGTTTAATATTGTGAATAGTGTAAAAAAATGTTTTGTAAATGGTGAGAAGGGTAAAATTTCTTTTGAAATCAATGATAAGTGTCTTGAAATTAGTGAAAGGTGTCTTGTGTTTGTTCTTCCTTTCTTTTGTCGTTTCCTTATGCCCAGGCGAACTTGTTAGCAAGACCCTTCAAGAAATGTAATAGGGTTCAAATTAAAAATAGTCTAATCCCACTAAGGGATGGCAGGATTTAAGACCAACTTGGCACTTGGGTTTTTCTCTCCTTTTTTTTTTGGGGAGAAAGAAAGAAAAGAACGAAGAGAGGGAACAAAAAGAATCAAATAGTGGTTAGATGGATGTATTTCAATAATACTTTTGTCATTAAATTTGGATGCCAAAAGTTGGATAATGTCACCAAAGGAGTGGGCCCCACCTTTCATGTATTGCATCTATGGATTGGTGATACATCATTTGGTTGTCAATGTTTTGTAGCCACGTTTGGCCACAATAGCATTATTCATATTATAGTCCTAAAAGTAGGCATATAAATGGATATGTGGTTACTTTGCATGCCATTATTGTTTTTAGAATTTGCAAAAAATTAATGAAAACATGTATAATACGGTTGATGTTTTTGTTAAAAACAAAATGGATGTAATGAGTACTTGCAAATGCAGATCTACCAATGAATTTGTTGCAAACGTAAACCATTTTTTTTATTCTATTGCTGGTTCGATACTCAAGTAAATAAAGTGAGTTTATCTAAAGTACCTATAATATGTAATTGTTCTAGCATTTTAAAGTCTGTCATTGCATATTGTAAACGTCCCCGAACGTCCCGGGAGGATGAATCCCATTCTGTTCATTTGGGCTCACTACAGTTCGGACTCAAATTGTCACGGTTCTTAATCTGATTTCACAATGTGCGATGTGAGTTGATAAATCACCAAAGAGTCCAAATCTGGCAAATCGTTTTGAAAAATAGATTTTTAGAAAGAAGTGCCAAATATGGACTGCTTTGCTAGATACAGAGTCGCCACCTAAATATTTTATTTTGTGGGGAATTTAGGAAACCCTGACTCGT